ACCCTACATCCACGAGGACTTGCAAAACTAGTTCAGATTTAAGTGTACATTAATAGGACTTAATAAAACACTAAAGACTGCCTCTTTATGTGATACGCCGTTCTTGCACACGACTCGAACTTGTTGATAATCAAAGCAATTCCTCCTCCGCACTCTTGGACTTCCTCCAATGTTGAACTTCCTTCAAACGGCGGATCGACCTCTCCCGAGATCTTTTAAGCACTTCTCCCGAAACGCCGATCTTCTTTATGGCCTGGTAGAAGAAACCTGTTATGTTGCCACACCTGATGTGTAACATCCCGCGTCTCCGATAATTTAATTTTTCATTAATTAGCATCTATTTAGTTAACGTGATTTTATCTCTTATGTGCGTTTATTTGTTTATGATTTTATTTATGTGATAATCGGTGAAAATTCATATAGAATGCATTAGTCCGAAATAATTTTTGGACGAATTTAAATTGATCATCTTAGTTAATTATTAATCTACAGGTTAATTATACTCTTTTGTTTGCTAGAACTTATTTGTTAGGAGAATTTTAAAATCACATATTTTCTTAAATAAATATAGAAAATTCCTCCTATTCATCCCTCAATTTTGACCATGGTACAACACATGACCAAATATTTTCCTTGAGTACAACCCTTGTCTAGGTGAGCCCATGTGCATTAAGATTTTTCCTTTTTGAATTTCTTTTCGAGAGTTAAATGAAATTGCAAAGAAGTCCCTCTAGATAATTCCTAAGTTTTCCTAAATTGCAAAAAGACCACTCCTTAATCATTAAGCATACAAGTCCCTCACAACTCTATAAATAGAACCCAAGCCTTCATCTATTTCTCATTTTTCTCTACACATTCTATGATGATGCTAAAATGTAGCTCACCTAGGGTGGTGTAGAAAACGGACTGGGAGAGCAAAGCAGATCAGTAGCTTGATAACTTGATGATCCTGAGGTACCTGCGATCATAGAACACATGAACTAAGCCGGGGTTGATCCGGCGGAAACCCCTCCGACGCTCAAGTCAGACGTGCTGATCATAGAAATAGTCCAGAGAATACATATTATAGTATTGCTCAGTTAATAGGACGTACCTTAATAAAATGAGTAAAACCTCTATATATATGTCGTTTATTGGGTTGGGTTTGCTTTGTTGGGCCCAAGCCTTACTTGAAGGTGTTTGGGCCTCGGTGATATTAGTCTTCGATATTGGGCTCGTAGCCCAGTAGGTACAGAAATTGTAGGCCCATTGGGTTGGCCCAATTAGGCATATCATTCTAAAAAATCAAAATCTCTTTCTCCTCTTCTCCCTATTTTCGAAATTATAGTATAGGAAAGCCCCAAATTCTCTCTTTCAAGTGTAAAATTCTTGGCCAAAGGAGTAAGTCTTCTTCATCTTCTTTCTTTTCTTCATTTTCGAAAATTTCAAGAAACTAAGATTCTCTTCCCCTCTTTCTAAAATTTCTTCTTCTTCTCCTTGTAGAAAGGAAAGAACACCCTCCCAATTTTCTAAGAAGATTAAGGTGAGAATTTCATATTCTTGCTACAAGTGATTCTTCACCAATATTATTTCTTCTTTCTCCTTCTTTGTTCTTAATGGCCGAAAATTTGGGAAGTTATAGTACTTTACTTGTTTATTGTTAGATTATCCATGCATGTAAGAATCTAAGCTTTAAATGACATAATCTTGAAGAACTAAGAATAATATTGTAATTTAATTTTTATGTATTTATGTATATATATATATATATATATATATATATATATACTAGACCTGCGTGATCTTAAGGAAACTTCGATCCATGGTTTTCGTAAACCTGCGTGGTCGAAGAAAGTACTTGATCCATGGTTTATTTGTAATCTATATGTGCTACATATAAGTATATGTTTCTATGTGTATATATATATCGACCTACGTGGTTGTAAGTGTACTCCCTCCGGGTCGAGGAAGCTTACGATCCATGGTTTATGATCTATGAGTAATAAGATAATATACGAAGATAAAAATCGAGAACAAGATTAATAAAAATGGAATTTTGTGTAATTGAATTGTTGATGGCTCGTATATTTTGGAAAGAAAATGAAATAAATGGAAATTTGGTGCTACTTTAAAGAAAACTTCAAGTCTCTTGAGAAAGAGGGCTTGAACTTTAATTAATAAAACTTGGAGATAGTAATTATAAATAACCGAATGCTTTGAGTTGTTTTGCTATATGTGATCTATGCTATTTGCTTGAGTTGTTATGTGTCTTACTTGCTTTTGTGATTGTGTGACTAAACTATGTGCCTTTGTGAAATATGTGGAAATATGTGTGCTTATGTGAAAGCTAACTTTGAATATGTGAAATGAAGAGTATATACTAACTTCACTTGCACGTTTTTAAAGTTGGAAAATCTTGTAAAACATAGATCGAATAAGCACGGGGTATGAGGGACCGGTACCCCAAAAATGAGATGAAGAGTGTGTGGTTTGATTCCACTTAGGAAACGGGTTCCAAATAAATGAAGGCTTATTGTCTATGGTTTTACTTGATTTTTCAAAGGATATCCGAACGAAAAAAATGTTTTCTCACGCACCTAATCAAATTGCTTGAAATGAATGAAAGTATGTACTAACCTCACTTGCACGTTTTTAAAATTGGAAAGTCTTGTAAAACATAGATCGAATAAGCACGGGGTATGAGGGACCGGTACCCCAAAAATGAGATGAAGAGTGTGTGGTTTGATTCCACTTATGAAACGAGTTCCAAATAAATGAAGGCTTATTGTCTATGGTTTTACTTGATTTTTCCAAAGGATATCCGACTAAAGAAAATGATTTTTCTTACACGTTGTATGAGCACTTGAATGAATGTATGTGGAAAAGAATGACGACTCCCTTGTGAGGGATGTCCTCTTATTCCTTATGAAATGATGAAAGGAAGGTTTAAGAGGTAAATCGAAAAGTTCTAAGAGGTAAACCGAGAAGGTAAAGGTAAATCGGTAAATTTTCTGAAGGAAATAGTGATTGAGGTATATGTATACTTGTATATGTATGACTATATAATTCCTTGTCTAAGTGTATTTGATATTCTATGGAATTCTCATTGAGTCTCAAAGACTCATATAGGTGTTGAATTGCTTGTAGGATTACCCGATTTCGAGCCCGAGGATCGTCGTTGAAGTTGAGTTCGTGGATCGGGAGAAGAGTTCATATGGAGGCATGGTGGATTTTGGGTGCTCTTAATATACTAATGTGGTTTTATTTGTACACTTTGCTTTTAAAGACATTAGACACCGTTTTAGGTGTTTATTATCGTTCCCTTCCGCCTATTGGAGGAACTTACTATTGATGCATAATGTGTAATGTGACATAGGATTAAGATTACCTATTTTGAGATATGTTATGATAATTCCTCAAAAACTTATGTAACTTTAGGGCGAGTTTTCCTAAAAACCTTATAAAATGTCCATCGGCTAGTTATGTGTTGTGTTCTGCCTAGTAGTTTAATAATTCGTGTTAATTATCTCTTTTATACATTATTGCATGAAATTTTACAGTATCATAGGTCTATTTGTTAGGTTCACGTTGATAGGTCTGTTGCATTATTTGGATAAGCCATGAATTAATTACGAATTGTTTACCAACTCTTCTCTGAAACAGAGTCATTGTAGTATTTACAACAAAATACGAAGTTTTTCTCACTCAAAAAGATTTATTCCACTTGGTATAAACTCCTAACTTACTAATGTACTTTAGTATAGAATTTTATGATTTTGGAGACAGTAGGGAATTTATAAAGATTTTTCAAAGGTCACTCCCCTGCTTTAGATTTTCAAACTGTATAGTTGTACCATTTTAATTATTCCTTTCAAATGGCTCAAGTTATTTAAAAACTGTTTTTACTAGGTTATCTAGGTCCTTATTAGAGCATGTGGTAAAAATTTCAAGTGTTTTGCATGAGCGGTTAGAGAGTTATTAATTTGTTTAATTGATAGATCGAAACTGTCCAAAATTCTCTCACTTTGCTAAAATGGAACTTAATCTCTAGTCATGCATGCATAGTTTGTGAAATTGATTAAGTGAATGTTGTTTGGTAATATGTGCACACTCTTACTCTGATTCTAAAAGAAAAATTTTGTCGAAATTTTCTATTCCCGATTTATATATTTCAAAGTCTTCCGCTATCATATTCTAAAATACTAATTAAGTATAACTAGAAAATGGGTGTCACATGATGTGCCGACGGGGCAGCACGGGCTGCACCCTTCAAAACCTTTATGCTGGGATTTGTCTTATTAAAGCTCCATGGGACTCATATGAGGTTGAGGGCCTTATATAGGCACGAAATCCACCACCCTAAACCTAACTTGGGCCCTAAGAAACCGATTAACTAGGTAATAAAATCCTAGTCGATTTCTACTTCTATTCTAGATAAGTACAAAAGATACCTAACTAGAATATAATACATGGAAATAAATCTAAGTCCTAATAACAATATTACAAAAATAGGACTCTAATTAATTCCAAAATAAACATGGAAAACAAATCTTTGCCAATCTTTAATTACCACATATGCCGGATTTCTTCAATCTTCACTAACAGAAATCTGGTGCCAACATTCTCCTAAGATAAACTCATACTATATTACTACAGAGGACTCTCCATCACTGAGCAAAGATAGAGTAATTCTTCTTAATTCGATTTTGGAGAGAGAGAGAGAGAATGCAAGTTAGAGATGGCGGCTTGCGCAGCTCTACTTTGTCGCAGGCATATTATCGAACAGCTTCAGCATCACCCTTTCCCTCCAATTTGTCTTGACCAAAACCAGGTCCAATCTCTCACCGACAACCTCAATTTCTTGCAAATATTTCTTGAGCAGGGATATCCTTGTGTTGGCATCAGCAAAGAAGCAATTGATGTTTTTGAAAGTCGAATTGCAGATGCAGCCGAAGACATAATCGAAACCCGGGTTGTTGATCAAATTCTTGTTGGATTGAAAAAAAGGAAGAATACTAGAATGAGAGATCATCTGCTCAGAATTTTGTGCACTTTTTGTGGCGCTGGTTCATCAAGATCTCCTTCAACGAGGCAGAATGTCAATATCGTAGCAGCTGGTTTTGATGTCGTGGAAAAAAATCAGTTCCGTCAACTTGTACCGAGATCTCGATAAGGTGATCCAAGACATGGGTTTAATCAAGAAAGATGCGATGGAGATTAAAGATGATAATATTGGAATAATCGAAGATCATCTGCACATAAATTCTTCTACTCTTGCTGGTGCTGCTTCGTCAAGGTCTCCTTTAACAACGAAGCAGGAAACCATGGTTGGTTTTGATGAGCTCTTGATTGAAGTAATGGATAAGCTCACCAGACAACAATCTAATCTCCGCATAATCCCGATTGTTGGCATGGGCGGCATCGGTAAGACTACTCTTGTTAGAAATGCTTATGCTAAGCCACTCATTGTGCATCACTTTGATTGTCGGACGCCAAGGAGTTTTACCGTCACTTAATTATTTTAGATTGTTGAGGGTGCTAAATGCAGTTGATAAATATTTGAATGATCATGTGTTTAGCCTAGAAGCTGTTTTTCAGCTTGTTAACTCGCGGTTCATTGCTATCACATCTGATAGGGATCAAAATGCCGATTTTCCTTCGTCAATCAACCTCCTTTGGAATCTACAGACTTTAATTGTCAAGGAGAGAGATGCTTTTGCACCATTTGAAATTTGGAAGATGACTCAACTTAGGCATGTTCAGTTGAATCAACTTGAAATGCCCGATCCTCCTCTCGATGGGAAAGACGAATATGTTTTGGGGAACCTACGGACGCTCTCGAGAATAAGAAATTTCAAATGAGGAGAAGAGGTGGTTAAAAAGGGCAATTCTGCAACCTTAAATTCTTGCAAATCTGCGACTGCAGTGACCTGGAACGGTGGACGACAGAGAGCGCCCACTTTCCACGCCTTGAGCAACTTGATCTCCGACACTTGGATAGGTTGGAGGAGATCCCGTCAGATATTGGAGAAATACCAACGCTTCAATCGATTCGGGTACAGTATCATGTAGCAAGACAGCTGTCATTTCTCAGCTGCTAAAAGAATATTGGATGAACAAGAAGAATTTGACAACGTAGGCCTTCGAGTTCGAGTTGTCGCACGGAATATAAAACACTTTGAGAGCTGGCTAGTCCCAACTTTCAAGTTGAAGTAATTTGGATGAACTAGTCTTCATTGAGTTTACTTACATCAACCTTCTTTCATTTTTTTGATTAAATCATTAAAGGAAATAGTATAATGATTGGTAAGAATCTGCCAATCGGAGACGGACAAGCTCTGACACGGTGTCGGGCATGTAATGAAATTTCGTTTCGGTCCGCCAGAAGAGTTCGGAGTTTCTTCAAATGTTCATGTTATTTTATGTAAAATAAAGTGAGTCGAAACTCAAGTAATTGTAATATTTTGCGGTATATGTAAAATATAATTTTGAAGTTGTGCTTCAATTTCATTCCTTATGATATATAAGACCACCTGAGCCACTGATTTCATTCCCTTATGATAGAATTATCATCATTATAGGTGCAAGTTGGAACGGAAATTCCAATTTCCGCCGGTTCCGATCCGAAAAGTTCCAATTTTGGAACAACTTTTTCTATTCCGACTTCCGAAATCCCGATTTTTTTGGATTGAAATTCGAATTATATATAAAAATATTGGTATTTCCAATTTCCGATCCGATTTAATTTCCAAAAGTAATTCCAAAAAAATCCGATTTTTTTCCGAAAAATACGCTTATAGATAATATTTATTATATAATACTTAATTTAAGTTTTTTTTGGGGTGAAAAGTAATTTGATTTTAAATTTTGTTTTAGGATTTTGACATATTAAATTGTGTTAGAAGTTTTATTGGATATTAGGATATCGCTTATTTTTATTTCTTATTTGGAATTGAAATTTAGCAGTTATTAGTTTTACTCTTATCGACGCGGATGTTCTTATTTTTTAAATTTTCAGAAAATTTTTAGAAAATTTCCGAAAAGAAGAATAATTAAAAAAGAAAGTTCATTTCATTACTGTGCATTTGGATTAAAAACATGTGATTTATTTTGTCCCCGAGAATTTTCGGAGAAACATTAATATAGCATTGAGTATGTACTGTTGTCGTTTCACTTTCGTAACAAGATCATTTTGCTATTGATCAATTTCTCAGCATGCATGGACAGATATATGCTATGTTATTATTAGGATTAAATTCTTGGAAACAAATTTGCATACTTCTCTTTCTATATCTACTCTACGCATATTCATTGTTGTTTCCACTCTTATTTTTGTATTTAACTTTTGTTTGCTTCTTTTAACATCATTTCTGACTATATTATAACTTTCTGCTATCTCTGTATCACATTAATTTGATAGGGAAGAAAGGGTCTTGTGTAGAAGAATATTGATAACGAAATATTACATGGCGCCAAGGCTTTAAGAAATCTCTCTCTCTCTCTCTCTCTCTCTCTCTCTCTCTCTCTCTTTTTTTTTTTTTTTTTTTTTTTTTTTTTTTTTTTTTTTCACGTACCCCCCCCCCCCCTCCTTTATTTTTTCTTTTCAATGATAGTGGAATAGTATGGAGGCTATGACGGTGGTTATGGTAGATGGTGTCGGCGGTTATGGTAGGCGACGACGGCTATGGCGGCGGCGCTCGGTTTAGGGGTTGCATCTGGAGGCTCTGTGACGTTGGGCAGGGGATGGCAGGCTCGTTGTTTTTTTGCAACAATAGGGATGAGTCGTGAGGTGCGTCTGGGTGTGGGGGGAGGGAGAGGGGGGGAGGGGAGTAGTGGCGGTGGTGGTGGTGGTGGCGGCGGATCGGATCTACGGTTTGGTGGGAAAATTTAAGATTTTTTGATTTGGGTGTCTTACAGATGTCTATGAGTGTCTATGGGTGTCTAGGTGTTTGACGGCTAGGGTTCAAAGGAGGAGTTAGAGTTTCAAGATGTCTGTGGGTTACTACATATTATTACGGATTCTATGGTTTTCTAAAATACAAAAAATGAAAGAAAAAAAAAGAAAAAAAAAAACATAATGTTCAATTTATGTAGAAAAGAAGGGGAAAAAATTAGATTTTATATAATGAAAAAATATGAAAAATGAAAGAAAAAAAAAATGAAAAACGCGTTCCACGTATAAATGAAAAAAAATGCTAGATGCAAACTTAAATTGTTAAATAATACCATAGTTCATCATAGTATATTTACATTCTGCTGTAATTTCGAATTTGTGAGTAAAGGGGCATTTTTGGAATTAATTTAATAAAGGATGTGAAGCAAATTTTAATTAGACTTGTCATTTAGTTCTAATAAGGTTTATCACCAGGGACTTATATCTTAAGACCCCTACTTTATAAAATTTGAAAATCTTATTAGTATAAGAACTCAACAATTCAATTTCATAACATATTAAATAATTGTTGTAATTAAGTCGTGTATAATCCGACTTGAATGATTTTTTGAATAATTCATATATTAGGATTTGAGCAAAGAGTAAATGATAGCATCCAACTCGAGATAAATCCATTGTATTAGTAAAGATAAATACTTAGAGGTCACTCGTATATATGTAATATTTGATTAATAGGATTTAGACTAAATTTGTGAAAACGTTTTGAAATATAGTTGTTGTATTTCATATTAATTTATATAAATAAAGTCTAATATTCCTCCTCAAAAAAATAAAAAAATAAACAAAGTCTAATATTAGAAAAGTCAAACTAATATTCATATGTAAATAAACTCAATCATAGTCCTTAGTAAATTTTATGGTATTCTTCAACAATTCACTTACTCATTGAAGCAAGTAATTCCTTAAAATATTCTACTCACCGGAGGGAAGAGAAATAGGTCACTTTTTCATTATAGAACAACAATTAATATTTTTTGCCCATTTAGTCTTTACCTTTTATCATCCTATTACTACCACTAGTAACTCACCCGTGCGATGCACGGATATTAATTTTAAGTTCATGTTTTTGTAATGACTAAAACACGTCGATAATGTAAACCAGACATATTTATGAATGAAAAAGGGATGTTAATCGATGCATGGGGTAATATAAAAAAAATAAAAATGTGTTTGGATAAAATAATCGAACGAATTGATATATAGTACAGTATAATCTAAAAAAAATTACAAACCATATCAATCCATTTGATTTAAGTATCGAGATAAACAAAATAAATGATAAAAGAAAATATAAAATACGAAAATTGTGATATAGAAAATAAGATACATTATGTAACACAAATGGCTCAACTATCTTGTCCAATACACTTAGATCCTTAACATGAAACTTAAATATTGAACACATACATTGACATCGTCTATAACTTATCTATTACTTTGCGAGTAAAATGCATATTTTTCATAGTTTAAATGCAATTAGTATTACACCTTAAAGAAACACAAACCACCTAAAATATTAAGAAATAAATAAAATTTATACAAAATTACCTTCATTTAATAAAAAAAAACTTCATTGGAATCAACATTATAATTAGCATAAAGTGGAAATAAACTTAACACGGCAAAAATAATTATACCTATAAATAATACAAACAACAAATGTGTATTGAATAGAAACATATAATTTTTATGATGTACATTAATA